TTTTTTGGTACATCACATCCTATATATATTCACACATCCATAGTTCATAAACCCATCATCTCTTATCACTTCATTTTTTTTTACCCCATTTTACATCTCACTAATTTCAAAATTGTATTTTACACCAATGGCCAAAAATCCTCTACACTCAATCTCAATCCTTCTTCTCCTCCTCCTCCTCCTCCCTATTGTCTTCTCCCAACCAAACTCAATATCAAACCCTACACCACGTTCCACAATTTGCAAATCCACCCCTTATCCTTCCTTATGCAACACCGTTCTCACTGGATCAGACTCCTCTTCGTCTAGCATCCACAATTACAGTCGAATTTCCGTAAAAAAATCCCTCTCGTCCGCCCAAAAATTCCTCGCCCTCATCCAGAGATACCTCCGGAGGCACAAAAAACTAACTGCAACTGCCGTCCGAGCCCTGCAGGACTGCGAATTTCTCGCGCAGTGCAACGTCGATAACCTAATAAACTCGTCCCTAACCCTCGACCAAAACATTAACTCCTCGTCCCAAACGCTCACCGAGCTCAAAACCGACGATGTCCAAACCCTACTCAGCGCGATACTCACCAACGCTCAGACGTGCATCGATGGCCTGCAGTCGACGGCCTCGACATGGAGCGTCCGATCCGGAGTCGTGAGTCCTTTATCCAACGACACGCGACTTTTTAGCTTGTCGTTGGCTTTGTTCACGAAGGGTTGGGTTAGCAATAAAAAAACAAGGAGGCCGCATCATCATCACGGCGGTTTTCCGGCCGGTTTTTTAAATAGAAAGCAACTAAAGTCGAGTGACGGGCGGTTCAACTTTCGAATGTCGGAGAAGAATATGAGAATCTTCCAGACGGCGACCAACCGGAGGCTGCTTCAGGTGGTCGACGAGGAACTCGACAGTCATGTCGCCATAAATGATATCGTTATCGTTAGCCAAAACAGAAAGGGGAACTTTAGCACGATTAACGATGCATTGGCGATTGCCCCAAACAATTCGGACGGGTCAAAAGGGTATTTCCTTATATACATAAAGGCCGGCGTGTACGAAGAGAATGTATTAGTGCCAAAGAACAAGAAGTACCTAATGATGATCGGAGACGGGATAAACCGGACGATTATCACCGGAAACCGAAGCGTCGTTGACGGATGGACGACTTTCAGTTCTGCAACTTTTGGTGAGCATATATCAATGTACAGTTTCTAAATTGAGATACGTTCTATCTGACGATGAATAATATAGCTTGAATCTATCTAAATTAATAAGGTGGAATAAAGGATTAATAATAATAACTTTGAAACTCTTGCAAATAAAATTTTATAACTTATATATAATATTTAAAATTATAAGTTATATAATAATAATATTATATTTTATATTTTAAATATATATATATGTATATTGATTGCAATATTGTAGTTGTAACAATTTTGAGTGATTCTCACGAATTAAGTGAGCAAAAAAAATATTGAAATTATTATTATATTTGTAATTTAAAAAATAATTAACTTATTTTAATAAAAATTGCTTAATGAACTGAAAAAATAATGTTTTTAAACAACTTTTTGGATATAAGTTTTGCAATAGAGTTTTCAATATGTATAAAACGACGTATGTCATTTAGTAAGAGTTTATGATTAACTACTATAGCAACACCTGTTACGTAACACAACAAATTAAAAAAAATATATATATATAAACAATTACACGATCAACGCAAAATTTAGCGGTTTCTTCCAAAATTAGGGGGAAAAAATGAGCGGGGAAAAAAAAAATCGCATTAAATTAAGCGTTTCGAAACCCGCTAACCGATTATTCCGTCCCATTCCGGCAGCCGTTGTGGCCCCCAACTTCGTCGCGTCCGACATCACCTTCCGAAACACGGCGGGCCCCGCCAAGCACCAAGCTGTTGCCCTTCGAAACGGGGCCGACCTCTCGATCTTCTACAATTGCAGCTTCGAGGCTTACCAGGACACACTGTACGTCCACTCCCTCCGACAGTTCTACCGCAACTGCCAAATCTACGGCACAGTCGACTTCATCTTCGGCAACGCAGCCGTCGTTTTTCAGGGCTGCAACCTCCGCCCGCGCCTCCCGATGCCCGGGCAGTTCAACGCCATTACTGCACAGGGCAGAACAGACCCAAACCAGAACACGGGCATCTCTATCCAGAATTGTACAGTTCAGGCAACCGATGACCTGGCGGCCAGCAATGGCACTGTCAAGACATACCTCGGTCGACCATGGAAAGAATACTCGAGGACGGTTTACATGCAGTCGTTTATGGATGGGTCGATTGACCCGACCGGGTGGAGCGTGTGGAACGGGGATTTCGCACTCAACACCTCGTACTACGCGGAGTTCAACAACAGTGGACCCGGGTCGAACACGAGAGCTAGGGTGACATGGCCCGGGTTTCATTTGATCAATCAGACGGACGCTGGCAATTTCACGTTGTCGGCGTTTTTGCTTGCGGATGATTGGATTCCAAGCTCGGGGGTGCCTTACAGAGGAGGGCTATAAGTTATAACCAATTCTTCTTGTTGTAGGGTTTCAACATCTTGTATTTGTTTATTGCTCATGTCATAACAACAACCTTAGGGCTCCAGTACCAAAGTTTTTCCAATGAGAATCACTGTAATCTCCTTTATACCACATAATAAATCCAAACTCAGGGATATTTAATATTTTAAGCAAGGATCAAAAGAGAAGAAGAACATGAGGCCTTAGCTTACTCTTTTGCAGCAATTTTCTACAGATTATAAGAGTCAAAAGTTCATAACTCATAGACCTCAAATGGCCATACATATATAATTTATGTTGTTAGGCTTGTTCAAGCTATTTGCATATGCATCTCAGCCTATCTTCATTATAATCCATTATCCATATACCGAAACTCGGAAATATTCACAAAGATACGTCAAAGTTCTCCGTGGACACAATCCAACCCACTCTACTAAAAACACAATTTATTTATATTTCTTAAAAGAAAAAAATAAAATACCGTAAAACAAACGCTACATATGGGCGCTGATGACCACTTTCTCCGCGGCTCCTTAGTTTGCTAGTTTTGACAATGTTTGAGGCAGCCGATAACATGCTTTTTGAGGGAAGATTTGTATTCTTTCAGATTCTTGGACAGCTGGACTTCGTCCCCGTTTTTGTTCTCCGCCTTCTCCTCCACATTGCTTGCCTTGAGCTGCGAGTCACACACGTTGATGTCTGACATGGCAGCCTCAATGAATTTATTGGCGTCCGCGTAAGCATTCCCCAGGACAGTATTAATGGCATCCTCAATCAAGTCATCGAGCGGGTTGTATTGGTCGAGGCAATCGCTAAGTGGCGACTGGAGAAGATGGGATATGTCCGAAGCGTGACTTTCTTGATGTCGGCTGTTAGGTTAACCGATTGGTCCTCAACGAACCTGGCCGGATTTTGAAAAAAAAAAAAGTCATGAACACAAAATTCTCACCACTTCTGTTGCAAATTTACATTTTCCCCAATACAACACCGACCTGTTTTAATCAGAAAGTACAATCATAATATAAACTATGACTGATATAGCATTTATGCAGCTAAACTCTGAAATTGCAAAAAATTAGAGATTCAATTTGATCCCTAAATGAAGAACCCTAATTCCCAAATTCAGCACAGGCCTGTTTGAATCAGAGAGTACAATCAAAATCCCAAACTCAGACATGGCAGAAATGAGAGAGAAATTTAATTTGATCCCCAAATGACGAACCCTAATTCCCCAATTCAGCACAGGACTGTTTGAATCAGAGAGTACAATCAAAATACAAACTACAACTAATCAAGCATTTACGCAATTAAATAAAAATGGAGAAGTCTAATTGTACTTGAGGGTGAAGGAAGCGAGGCCGTCGGCGTTAGCCTTCTGGTGCGGCGGCGCGAATTGCAAGATATGGAAGGATGAAACACCGACTCTTTTATTCTAATTGGGCCGGGCCATTTTTAAACTGGGCCCAAATTATTAGTTTCACTTGTGTACTAGTGTAATCATTCATTGATAGAGCCCGATTAGGTAGCAAACAACTCAAATTGATAGAGCCCAACAAGATTTACTTGGATCCCAATTGTGATGTATGATACTCTCTAATGTTGAAGTCATTTAACAATAAGACATTTGTAATTTTGTATTGTGATGTAGATGAAGTGCATGAATACCTTGGTGTATAATGTTGAAAATTTGAGAAAAAAAAAATGCATGCCTTTACTTAAAATATAATAACAATGATATAAATTAACTATTTAATTTGTTTTAAAAAATATACCATTTCAATATGTAAATACAAAAAATTTGTTCAAATAGCGTATTTATATGAGTCAATAGTAATTTCAGGTACAAACACATACGTTGCGATATTTGTTAAATGAAATATGGCGCTCTTCAGTGTGACTCAACTCGTCGATAATCGAGTCGAGTTCGAGCTTGTTGGACAATAAAAATATAACTTTTTACACAATTTTTTTGACTTTTCAAAATAATTCAGCTAGTTAAGAACGATTTTGGTTAGTTAAAACTCGCCTGTAAATCGAGAAGCATCTAAAATCAGCACACCGCCAAACTAATTGAGAAGTTGCGAGTCTTTCAAAGCCCAAATATTTATTTTTTAGACATTTTACTTTACTTACAATTCCTTTCAACAATATTTGTGAAATACGAACGAGGTGAAATTTTTCTTTATAAATACGATTTGTTAAATAAAACATGCCATTTGTAATAGGCGATTTTGGGCGTTTTTCACTTGTGGAATATAACTACTCTAAAACATAATTAATGGGTTAAATCGGAACAAGATTTTCGATAACCGTTCTAATCTCATATTTTACAATTTACAATATATAAAGAAGAAGAAAGTATATCTTCTCCCTCCCCTTAGTTTCTTCACCGAGAATGAATAAAACAAAGGATTCCCTAACAACATTTAAACTCATATTCCTCGAAAAATTCTTCAAAGGCGAAACGTAGAAAACCCAACGTCAAACCGCACAACAGTGATGATGAATCTATATTAACTCGATCAAGATCTCATCAAACATCTGAAATTTGATATTTTATGAGCTTGGGTTGTGAAAAGTTGAACGATTTGCGCTGATTGTGTGTTGTTGGTTCGATTTGGTTGAATTAATACGTGAAGTTCTTGATTCTTTATGTTACAATTGAGTTTGGTTGTCTTGTTGTTGAGAATAAATTGAAATTATTGAATGGAGTTTGGAGAAAAAAATACGGAATTAACTATAAAAAAAAATTATGTGTTTCTCTCTCACCATCCTCGAATGTCGTTACATGTTTCACCAACGTATATTTTGTGTAAAATTTCACATGGCCTACTTTAGTGTAGCAAACTTCATGTCTCAACCAAAATAAATTTCATCTCATATAAAATTGTTATTAATGAAATCTCATTCGATAAAAAAATTCAGATATACTATATATATACTGCCTAATAACCACAAAAAATATGTTCAAATATACTGTATATATACACAAGATAAACATGATCCGGGAGTTCTCTAATATTAACTGTATAGTTATACATAAGACAAACAACATATAAACAACTCTGAAACGGGATAAAAGATAATACACAAATCGAGAACCACGCTTTTCCTCCTCCGTCATCTGCACGGGCATGTCGAACCGCTTTGCGCGCTTTCATCTTCTTCTGGATATCAGTGACACCAACAACGTCGTCCTGGACAACAACATAATCACTTTTCGATTTGACGACGCCTCCACCGAAGGATGCCGGCGTCTGCTTCGATGGGTCATCTTCGTCGGCCAGAGGCTTCAAATCGACATCGAAGCCATTGACATCGTGGTATTTTTCTTTTTTCTTTTTCTTTTTTAGACTGTAAGAGCTCGTTGAACTGTGAATTCCGCATGTTTATTCTTTCTTTTTTTTTTTATGGATTTTCCGTCTTCCATGCGTGAATTTCCGTATTGATGCCACGATCAATATATGGAGATAGAAAAACAGATATGTTGATAGAAATAAGAATATTGTAGAAATGAAATAAGAATCACTACTTAATCCTCTTTTAATTAATGTTTGCAACGGATTGTATATATGTAAATATATCTATACAGTGGTCTATGTATGTAATTTTCCCTTCATTTTTTTTTTTTTTTTTTGGTACAAAGCCCAAATATTTCATTTGGACATTTGTGATTTGGGCTTAAATAAGGTTAATTTACAGGCACAACTGTCACATAAGCATGTGTTTGGTATGTTAAATTGGTCCTCAGACTTTGACTTTGCACGGACAAAAGTCTCGGACATGATTGTTTATAAAATATTTCATTCAAAATATTTCATTTTGGTTAATTATAGTGAAAGTTGAAAAGGTAGTGTGATTAATTATTAGTGGGATTTAAAAAATATATTAAAATGATATTTAAAATAAAATGATTAAAATTGATTTGATATAAAGTAAGAGATAAATTATTGAAAATGATAGGTAGTTAAAATTATGTGAGTGGATGAATAGTGAATTAAAGTTGAGGTGATGTGTAAGAATGATTGGTTTGTATTATTTAATTATATGAATAATATTAAAGATAGTGGAGTTGAGTTAAAGTTGAGTTAGATTTTGAGTTGAAAATATTTAAGGTGAAATATTTTGTAAACAATCACTCCCGTTCATCTTCATTTCAAAGGGCAACTTTCTCCTAATCCCTTTAATTATTCAGGAATCAGGAGATATGTAGAAGTGATATTCTTATAGTAGGTGCATGTGTGTTTTATTTATTTACTTGTTATAAGTAGGTGGTTGACTCCTTTATTTATATAGTGACGATATTCTTATAGTAGGTGCATGTGTGATTTATTTATTTACTTGTTATAAGTAGGTGGTTGAGTCCTTTATTTATATAGTGATGATATTCTTATAGTAGGTGCATGTGTGATTTATTTATTTACTTAACAAGTAGGTGGTTGACTCCTTTATTTAGATGGCTATATTTAATTGGAATAGAAAATAATAATTAATTATAGAAATTAAATGTACATAATAATAGTTTATTGAAATTTGAATTTCAATTAAAAGATTCATTTTGATGATCTATATATATATAAAAAGAATTACAATTTATCAAAAATGGCAGGTCAATTATATGGCCAAATTGCTCATCATTAATTACTTTCCATCAATAGTAACTTTTTTTTATATTATTTTTTAAAAAATCAATTAGCATTAAATGTTGCCACAAGTTATGGGTTTTAGATCATTTTAGGATAAGGTTTCCATCTTGAATTCAAATTGTTTGTTCGTGGTCAATATATACCCACTAAAATAGCCTAAATCTTTGAGTTATTTTTTATTTTTTAACATGATTTGATTGTCCTTTATATGTATGGATTAATTAGGTGATTTTATATTTAATAAACAATGCAGTTTTTTTTTTTTTTTTTTTTTTTTTTTTTTTGGCATGGTGCTTTGAGGAGATTTAGATTATCTGCTTCCAATGTTTTATCAATCCAAAAATCTAAAATGATTAATTTACCACAATCAAATAATTTGAAAAATAATAACTATTTTTAATAAATAAGTTACATAACTATCTAAATTTAAAAAGATGTTATTTAATCAAATAAATATTAATTGTTTTTAAAAAATGAATAGAACAATACATTCAAATTTAAAAAACCGAGTATCCATAGAAACGAAAAAAATTAGGGTAATTAATGGATATTATCAAATCTATATCTATATAATAACAATAATAATTTGTTGAAAATAGTAGTAAAATTTTTTTGAAGCAATTAATGCATACCTTCTTTTGAAAACTTTTTAAATATATACATTAAATTACTTTTATATACACGTTTTAAAATAAGATTAGATCTGATATTATCAAAAATATTATTTCCTTCAATAATTTTATTAATATCTGCAATAATTTCATTGATATTTATTATAATAACATAATATTGATTTTGTGTGATTCATGTTGATAATATTTTGGTCAAAATAAATATCATAACATATTTTAAGTTCTAATCATAATATTATTTTTTTTTTCACATATATTCATTTTTCTTCCAAGTAATCAAGCGAAATCAAGTTGGTGAATTTATCTTTGTCAATATAATTTTTTCTTAAGATTATATCGTTATATATAAAAAGTAAATTAAAATTAAATTAATATAATTTACCTTTTAAGAGA